CTGAAAAACATGACAGGATTTTATCTTCCCCACCACTTTCTTCTCCAGAGAAGGCCCTTTGCACCAACATCCTCAGCAGTGTGTCCACCTACAAGGGCAGGGTGAGCCTGGGACCCCTCCAGCCCCTCGGGGACACCCCCCCAGCTGCTCAGCATTCTCACAAGCAACTAGGGACACCCCACCAGCCACTCAGTACCTTCCCAGGTGACTGGGGACACCCCCTCAGCCACTCGACCCAGCTGCCATTGGAAACCAAGAGGGGGCCTGAAAAACATGACAGGATTTTATCTTCCCCCCAGGGAACTGGGGACACCTGCTCAGCAACCTCCCAGGTGATTGGGGACACCCCTTCAGCCGCTCGGCTCAGCCTCCCTTAGAAACCAAGATGGGGCCTGGAAGACATGATTTTATCTCCCCCCCCCACCCTCTTCTTCTCCTCCCCTAGGTCCGTGCCTTCCACCACGCCTTCAGCACCAACGACTGCTCACGGAACGTCTACATCAAGAAGAATGGCTTCACGCTGCACCGCAACCCCATCGCCCAGAGCACGGACGGGGCGCGGACCAAGATCGGCTTCAGCGAGGGCCGCCACGCCTGGGAGGTGTGGTGGGAGGGCCCGCTGGGCACTGTGGCTGTCATTGGCATCGCCACAAAGCGGGCAGCCATGCAGTGCCAGGGTTACGTGGCCCTCTTGGGGAGCGATGACCAGAGCTGGGGCTGGAACCTGGTGGACAATAACTTGCTGCATAACGGGGAGGTGAATGGCAGCTTCCCCCAGTGCAATAACGCGCCCAAATACCAGGTGAGCAGGGCTTGGCACGGGCTGGAAGCTCCACCGTGTCTGATGGCAGCTGGCCATCAAGAACCTGGAGGCTTCAGGTGTTGTGGCTGTCTGCTGAATTGGTCTTAAAATGCTCACTGAATGGTCTCTTTGCCTTCCCTGCATAAGGCAAATGATTCTGCCTTATGGGGCCTTTCTCCCTTCATTTACTGCTTCCTCAGGCTACACCTGTGTGTGGCGTTCAACACACCTGACCCTCTGTTATTTCCTCACTTTTATGTCAAAATATTGAGTGCAAAGCATGTACCATGGGTATCTGGTTAGACACCATGTCACTTTGTGAAATAAAAGCTGAGAAGACTCTTGTAGCCTTCTGAAGTAACGACTTGTCCCACAGCAAGGTGAATGTCTGAGGTATTTTACCCTTTTGTTGTACGGCAGCGTGAGCTGAGCTTAGTGCTTAGGTTAAGAGTCTTCCTGCAAAAACCCACTGCAGTGCTGAGTGTCACTTCTTTGCTTGCTGGCAGCGTTCCCATAGGTGACATCCCTTGGCGGGGATGCTGGGATGCAATGTTCAAATAATTTCAAGTTATTAAAGAGCAAGTGCCATTCCACCTTCTTGTCCCTATAGAAGTGTTTATCTTTTTTCTTCTACCTGCTCACACTACGTTTTGACTGCTGGATTTCCTTCTGTTACAACTTAAGCCTTGCAGATTGTAATTTCCACCTCATAATGCTGTGGCTTTGTACGAGTATTGGCTTAGTTTCAGTTGTGGGTGAAGATCTGTGTAGTAACTTGTATCTGATATTGCTAAATTTCATGTGAAAGTTCACTGCCAAGCACTTAATTCTGTTGGAAGGTTATACTTGCTGGTTTTGCAAATAATTCCTAAAATTAATGTGGTTCAAGAGATTCTATCTCTTTCCACTTGCATGTTACCTCGTGCAAATTGGATCACTTCTGCTGTCCTTGTCTGCGCCTTTCTGCAGCAACAGGGTGAGGAAGGGTTTTGAAGCTGAGTCCCCAGCTTATGTGGGGACTTCAGGGTGAACGCAATCGCTGCTTCCTCTCTAAAAACTTCTGAGAGCTCAAATCAATGACCCTTTGGAGTATTTTCTGTTTAGGAAGGCATGCATAGCAATCTACTCACAGAATAAAAGATTTCAAGGAAGCACATGTGTTGGTTAGAAGAAAAATGTGTTGGCTGGAAGAAATACCCAGCATTGGGGCTGGTGAAGAATCAGAAGTTTGTGCGGTGTCCTGCTGTGCTGGATGTCTGGGACTTGTATTTATGTCTAGATAAATGCAGGGAGCACCGTGTGTGCCCAGAGCTGAGTTTTTTGCTGTATCCAGTGTTGTTTTCACTCATGTGTGTATGTGTGTGTGTGTGTATATATATATATAAAAGGTTTTTCACACTTACTTTGCCTAAGCATTGCACTGGAGTTTCTTTCTGGCTTGGTGAGGGAATACCTCTGTCAGCAACAGCACCTGCATAGTCAGTAGGATGTTCTGGTGTATTTTGATGTGACACTGGCATCTCTAAAAGCAGTTCATTGTCTTTAAAATTGCTCTTCACAGAGCAATGATGGCTCAGCGATAGCAACAGCTAAATACGGAGTTGAGGTAACTTGGAGGCCATTACAGAGTTTCCAAAACTGCAGTATTGTGAAGCAGGTGGCGTGCAGTGTGCTCACTCTTGGTGCTCTCGTAGGGTTCTTAGGAGAAGGGTTACGTTTATTATTGTGTAGGTGGTTGTGTACACTGGAAATGGGCAGCAGAGGTACTCAGGATCCTAACGCATTGGAGCAAAATTGAGACATTCCCATCCTAAAAGTAATGCAATCGTGAGAAACAGGAAAGCCTTGCTTTAAAATTACCTGCTGTGTTCTTCATGGGCTGTGCTTTATTTTTGCATCTCCATTTTAACATGCTGACTATTTCTCTGTAATTTCTTTTTTTTTATTCCCCCTCCTGTCTCTTTTTCCAGATAGGTGAAAGGATTCGAGTTATCCTGGACATGGAAGACAAAACATTAGCATTTGAGCGGGGCTATGAGTTCTTGGGAGTTGCCTTCAGAGGACTGCCAAAAGTTTGTCTGTATCCAGCAGTGTCTGCTGTGTATGGTAACACAGAAGTGACTTTGGTCTACCTGGGAAAGCCTCTGGATGGATGACATGGATTGCTTCATTGGGACATTGAGATGTGGATGATTGGGAGGAGAAATCTGCATGTTGGTTTAGAGGGAAACTTGTGTTAGAGGAAAAAACAAAAATTGTGGGTATGTGTCCAAGAACCATCGAGGGAATCACGTGAAATTTTGAAACGGAGGACCAGCCATACATTTCCTCTTTCTACCAGGCCAGAAAAATCCTCAGGGTTGCAAGTTGGTTGAGTGGGAAGCTGACACATGCATGTTGCAACAGATTTCATTGCTAAGGTGGCAGTGTGTGACCTCGAATATTTAAGAAAGGATTCGATACAAAACTGCTTGAGGAAGTTAAACCTGAGATTTGTAAGTAGCGTGTTTTCTGAAAGACTTCCACTTTAAAACTGCTTGTTCCTTCCCTTCCCTCCTTTGGGCCGACGTGGGTACCGGAGGAGAGCGAGTCCGGTTGGGTTTTATTTACAATTTTTAACATACTGAGAAGCATGGTCTGTCTGGACTGCCCTTCTCCAGTACAACGATCACAACGTGTGCAGCTATTTTTAAGTGTATTTTAAGGGTTGTATATATAGAACACATTGAAAAGGACAGTTAAAAGAAAGGGTTTGCTTTACTCTAACTGGGACATCATTTCTTAAAGGGAACCCCCCCTCCCCCCACTACGTACATCAGAAAATATACCTCGGACAGGTATATAACATTCATGTTAGTGTACTTCTTCCGTGGTATTGTAAAGCATTTTGGGTTGCTCTTGTGGAGTACGGTGCTACATAGGGTCATTTGCTGCGAACATTTCCATAGCTTTAGCGACAGTTTTGTTCTCTGTAGGAAACACCAACCGTTTTCCCCACACATTTCCTTTTGCCAGAATTTGCAGACCCCTTTAGGAAGGGAAGCTGCAGCACAGCGCTGAGCTTGTCTTCCTTTCGACATCAAAAATACTAACTTTTAAAGCATTCTTACACTTTCTAATTGCTGTTGAAAATGTTTCAAAATAATGAGGAAGGAACATTCAGTTTCTGAATCCAGACCTTGTTTTCAGCTTAAAAGGCTTTGTAAGGCTTTAAGACTTGGCTGAACCTTTCTTTAATTAAATAAAATCCCCTGGTCCCCAAGTATTCAGCTCCCTGTTTTCAGCCAGGATGAGTAAAACTCTCACCAACCCTTTGATGGGGATTCTGGATCAGGTTCAATGTTTGAGCTTTTCACTTGCACCGGTTTTCTAAAAACCATGGACAGACCCCACTGGTGTGTCGGTGTGCTGGCACACGCAGGCCGGGGCGGCTGTGAAGCTGCGGGGTGTAGTAAGGAGGGACTTCCTGGTGAAACCGCTTTCCTCTGAGGTGGAAGGGTCTGCAGGGAGCCCCAAAAGGGCTCCTTTTAATAGGGCATTAAAATCTGGAAGCCCTGTGGCTAGCTCTTCGCTCTGCATTTGTGTTGGTTGGTGTTTCCCAGAGCTGTCTGACCTATTCCAGAATTAGGCATGCTTTTCAGAGAGGGAGGAGGAAATGTTTCTACAACCTCTTTTTGCTTTATTTGCGCTAGAGAATGTGAATCACTTAATATCAGACACTGGCAAATCTCTGAGCACGGAAGAGGGAGGAGTTCCTCTTGGGCTGTTGCTTGTTTTTCCCCCTCATGACTCAAATAATGCGAGGAGGGCAGGTGAGTGAAGCTCCTGCTCTGCTGCTGCCGAGCTATCCTTGGAGTCCTTTTACCTAGTAGACAACCCAGATTCTGCACTGGAACAGAGTATGCACGTCATTACCATTTAAAAGGATTTAAAAGTATTTATTTGTTTTATATGTTGTTTATTGCTTAAAGGCAATATCGAGGTCTGTTCCTCTTGGCTGCTTTAAACAAAATACGCAGTGAGAAATGAGGATGTTTTAAGTGGTGCTGAGAACAACCGAATAAATGATGTGGGATGGGCGTTACTTTTTGGAGAAATCTGTTACAAGCCTTGATTGTACTAGACTGTAAAGTATGTATCTGCATAGCAGAGTCGTGGGGCGTGAAGTAGGGAAAAAAAGGAAACAAAACCCTGTCCAGTTTCAGAAAATGAACTTGTCTCTGAGCTGAATGTATTCTCAGTGCAGTCCTGAAAGACGTGACCTCTGTGCTTGTTCATGAATCCAATTAGATACCAGTAAACCCTGAGAACTTTGGAGGAGTTTTATTGACAAGTTTTCCATTCTTCAGACTGCGTCTTACCCTATAAATAATTTCCCTCTAAATTAGAAATGCTGAAAGTTGAACATTCCTTAAGGGTGGGTTTGGGGGGACTCACTGATGTAAGATTATAACTTATTCCTGGAGACCAATGCTGGCTGTACAAAATATTAAAATAAACTCTGCTGTAATTCAGAAGGATATATCGGTGTGGATTGTTGTAATAACATCCATGGTGCGGTGGCAGGAAAAACGGAGTAGCGGTTCGGTGCATGAAGATGAGGGTGGTGGGTCTGTGCTGCGTGGCTGCTTGAAAGGAGAGAATCTGATGGTGGTTAATGAGGACTTGAAATCTGAGTTGTCCAAGATCTGTGCTGGGGGAATTGCACCCTCCGAAACAGGGATGCTCACATGTGATGGCGTGGGGAAAGGCTTCCTGACCTCAGCTGGAGGTCTCTTGATTCGAACGGAGGTGTTGTGCTCACTGCTGCTGCACCCAGGTGCCTCCCTCCCAAGTCGGCTTCTCACTGTTTCTTTAGCTTTCCCTATGGAAGTTCAATATTTTGCAGTGCTTTTAGGAATAAGTAGATTATTATAAGAAGAAGTGAGAGACTGTGTTGTGGTTATGAGCTCCAAGGCACTTTCCAAACTATCTGCCTCAAGAATTTGCTTTTAAGCGATGAACTTTAGGCTAACATCTCTGTGAGCTTCTTCAGGAGTGAAGAGGTTTGTTGCTGGCTTGCCAAAAATGTAGAATAGCTTTTTTTTAGCCTGAGGTACTTCAGAGTTGGCCGAACAGCTTTTTGAAGTATTTTCCCTACCCCAACTAGTGATTTAACTGCTTTGATCAGGAGGAACACCAACTGTTCATAACAGAAATCAGATTCACAAGTCTGGGCTTTGGAATCCTTCACGACATCCAGGATTTTGGGATAAGTGAGAATTTTATTTGAATAAAACTTAGAATTTTGTGTGATTATAAGTGGGCTGGAAGATCTGTTGGGAGCTAACAGTTGGTCATCTCATCTGGTCATGTTTCTTTATTGGAGGAAGCAAAGAGCTTGATATGGCCATTTGTTTTGGGGCAGAGTCTGTTCTTGGCTTCGGAGGTGGCTTGTCATGTTGGCCTGAAGTCAACTGTGTGACTTCTTTTTGCAAAAGAGGAGAAAGATGTTGCTGGAATGAACTAATAAATCAAGATGGCTTGGGAAAAATCACTCTGGTAGGGATATTTTCTTGAAAATGTTTTATTTCCCCCCACTTAAAATGCGTTTTTGGGAGTCCTGTTTGTGCCTTCTACTAGCAAATGCCATTTGGTTTTGTTACTTTTGGCCATGTTTCAGGTGACAGAACTAGCCAGGAGCAGATGGCCTTGATCCTGTGGGCTGAACTTCTGTTGCCTTGCATGTGGCTGAATTCTTCTCTGCCTGCTGCTGAATCCGTTAACAAGCTGGAACATTATTACCTTTCCTCTCCGTTTACTGGTGATCTAAATTTTTTCATTTCCTTCACACACGGGTGTGTTTTCCAGATGGCTGCCTCTATTTTTTTTTCTTTCCTCTTCCATTTTCACTGGGATGATGACAGCAGCAATGAATTAAAATAACACTCGGTCTGATAATAGTTTGATCAGACAGAACTTATTTTAAGTAGTTGAGAGATAACCAGCCCTCAGTGATACCTGAACCTGATTATTTCAGTTCTAGCTAAATCTTTATGCATTATAAATAGCTCTGGACACTGTCAGGAACACAGCTGTGCTACGTGTGTTGCTGTTCTCTGAAACAGTGGTGGTCCTTGCACCATACAGATAATTTGTTGAAATCTGTAGCCATAAAACAGCATTTCTGAAATGTGCTCTAGGATCCTTTCTAACATTTTTAAATCAGGTTTTTAAATAATGAGGAGTGTGACATGTTTGATTTCTGTAAGTGTTAGTGGGCTACCTCGCACTAAGGTATAATTCCATTGAAAGGAAAATTAATTAAGTCATAAATAATAGAGAAGGATTTACCTGCAGTGGTGCTGAACCTGCTCATTTATACTTTCAGCAGCATTTTTCATACTGCTGTATGGTGCTGTACATGGTGTGTGGCTTCTGAATGAATTCTCACACCTCCCCACAAGAGGGCAAAGTTAACAGCGCCGTGGGAGCCTAGACTTTGAATTACCTCAGTATTGTGCAGAATAAATGTTTAATGAGGAACCTTTTCTGTTAGCATTTGCTTCCTGGTCTCTTAAAAAACCAAAACAAACTAAAAAACCCTCAACAAAACAGATGATGGTTGAGAAGTGGATAACAGATATAGAATTTCAAGATATATTTCTTCCTTTGAACCCTGGATCTTGAAATGAGGCTGAGCAAATCTTTGCATGTCAGAAAATTATTTTCAGTGACAGCAAACTGAGCTGAGATGCTGAAATCACCTTAAAAGATAGAGAGGGATTTGAGAGGCTCAAACAAAATGTCACCGTTACCATTCAAGGTCTACTTTTTCCCAAACTTGCTTTTCTTCCTCTCAGGCATTTATGACCAGGAAATAGTGATACCATCAAAAGATTATTTTTAAAAAAATCTATTGCAGTTGAAAAAAAATATAATTGAAAAAGGATTTTAAAATGAAATTCGTTGTATATTACAACTGTTGTTTATTCTTCTGCAGTTTTACCAGCTGAAGAACTAAGGAAGACATTTTACTTCCACACCTGCCCTTGCAGCTTTGTGAGCTAGCTGGAGTTGTTTCATGTTTGCTTGATTTATTTTTGTCTTTTTAATCCATGTTGTTCTACCTATGTTAAAAGCTATATATTTACCTGCAGGCAGTGCTTGAATGGGGAAAGGTGTGAAGGAACCTTGCCTGTTCTTGTCTTTTGTGTAGTGTCTGAGCTTCTTGTGAGCTCTCAGTTCCTGTAGCTTAAAGCTTTGGTAGTTTTATCCAGAAACAGAAGGAGCATTCAATGAGTGACCATCCTGGGACACATCACCTTTCTGTATCTACAGTGTTTTACTGCTCAGGATGGGCACTATAACCCTAAGTGTTTTACTGTATGTTTTGCAAAGTGATATTTTATTTTATTTTATTTTATT